AAGGAGTGGTGACAGCTGCTGAAGATCTAAATGCAGGGGATCACTGTGTCTCTGGGATTCATAAAACAAACCTCTGTGTGGAAATTAAGAGACAAATTATGTCTCTCTGCTGAATCTTCAGGAGGAACAGGTTTTGTGCACTGATTGCACTTTGATTTTTCTTGATTTCAAGAGTTTCAGGTAAATGGGATCTATTTATTTAAGTACGTTATAAATTTTTGGGAATGAGCTCAGTTTAAAGGGGGATCTAAATTTAGCTGCAGCTGTAAGTACCTCTAAAAATGCCCCAACAGAAACAATTTTCTTCTATATTTCCCAAATTCAGAGTTAAATGCCTCAGAGGCTCTTTGGATGGACAATTTCCCCTGGAGTTAACATCACATAACTGTGCTGAGAGCTGTCACAATTACTTATTAGCCTGAAAGTGGGGAACAATTCTGGCAGTAAACAGCAAATCTCCCACAATAATCAGCTGACTATTCTCCTGCTGCGGTGGTTGGGCAAGTCCCCTTGAAAACTAACACTGAATTCCAAACCCTGTGGCAAATGTGCCTTTCAGCTGGTTGGACTCAGCCTCTGGAGCTGCTGATAGGAAGGAAACTTAATTAATGGGGAGTTAAAAGGGAGTGATAACAGCTGAAGTGGGATTAGTGGTGTGAGCTTTCACCCTCAGTTCTCTATGGTCATCCTAGAAAATAATCCATTATTGGAGCAAAAAGACATAATACAGGGGATCCAAATATTCCTCTGGAATGATAAGATTTGGATGCTGCTATGAAGAAACATCTAAAGGAATATCTGCTAAAATTGCTGTGGGAATGACTGTCCAGTCATGTTGAGCATCCCAAGAGCTCAGAGTCTTCAGGACTTTCTCAGCTTCCAAAGGACAAGGTGTTTTCTCCCACAGACTGGGAATCTTCTAATTAAAGAGAGGAGGAATAAAAATGTTATGGAGTCATAAACCTGGCAGCTACAGATGTGAGAGCTGGGACAGCAGGGAGAGAGACACCAGGGACAGCTTAAACTGCTCATTGTGCTCAGAAGCAGATTTGGGAACGTGAGGCACCATCCTGGTGGTGATAGTCTTGCAGTTCCCAAGTTCATTTTAACTTCCCCCACCCAGGATGGACAGACTGGTCACTTTATTGAATACTTCCATGACTTTATTAACCAGTTCTGCCCTTACAGAGGACCTTAAAAACCCACCAGCCCTTCAAACCCGAAGTCCTGCAGAGGCCACTTGCCAGAACAGGGCCTTGCTTTGCCCACAGGGGCCACAGGAGGGAAATCACCCAAAATGTCACATTTAGAGCTTTTCTGAAAGCCCCAGTGCCTGTGCTCACCAGGAGAAGGAAGGGCAGGAGGGTCAGAATGAAGCCTATTTCACTGTTTTTTGCCCAAGTTTGTCTGGGAGAAGCCAGGAGGGAGGGAGGGAGGGAGGAGAGGGATGGTGATCTGGCTGCTTGTAAAGGCCTTCACACTTTGTCTTTGGAGTACACAAAGGGACACTCCAGATTATTCTGGATAAATCTGAATAGATCAATAACAAGCAGCACACAATGACCCCAGGCTGTGTGAGGAGGTGGATTGACAGGAGCTGGTGGAAATAGATTCCAACTTTGCTCTTTCCTCTTGACAAATCTCTGACAGCAGGAGCCAGGTCCTGCCTCTGCCTCCAGGGGAGGGGATGAAAAGAGGATTTCCTGTTGCAAAACCTCCTGTCAGGGAATGAAAGGACAAGCCATCCCATTTTCCTCTTTTATAGGATCTGAGGGATAAGGTGCCCCCTGTCCTGGCCTTGCCCTGCCTGGAAGGGGAGCGTTTGGGTTGTTTGCAGGTACCAATCACGAGATGCCTCCAAATCCAAGCATCCACTGCTGGGGTTTACTGGAAATACCCTGGGTGTGCTGGGCAGCCAGAGTTCCCCATTTCTCAGTGCCCACTATCATGGTTTTATCCCCGTGGTAACTCTGCCCTCCACAGCCACCCATTCACTGCACTCAGTGGGTGGAGAAGAGAACTGGAAGGGTAAAAGTGAGAAAACTGGTGGGTAAAGACATTTGAATAAAAGAAATAAAATTTAAAAAATAAATTGTAATGAAAAGGAAAATAATGAAGAGAGAGAAATAAAACCCAAAATAAGACAGTTTCTCACCAGCACCCAACAGATGCCCAGCCAGTCCTTGAGCAGGACCCACAAATCAACCTCCTTTTATTGCTGAACATAATATAATATCAAGCCCTCATAATATCAAGCATTGGAACAGGGACTCACCATACCTGGAACTGTTCAAAAAGCAGAAGTTTCAGATTTGGTCCCTGAGACACAGCCCAACAGATCCACCTGGGCCCTCTCTCAGGGCAGCATCAGCACATGAAATTGTGGGGACAAGGAGGAATTAACTGGCTGAAACAGGGTTGTTCCACATCCTTCTTTCAGATTCTGTGTATTAAGAGTTGCTGCCTCTCCCCCAGCATGAGAATCTTTTCCTTCCAGACACAACCTGACAGCCTCTCCTGTCCGGCAATGGTTGCTCCTGGCATGGATTTTCTTTTCAAATTAGTCCAAGTCTCATGAAGTGCAATGGGGAAAAATTGAAATTACTACAGAATTATATATCCAATGGCCAGAAATCAAATCCTTGCCCAATAGGACCGTGTAGTGTCTGATTGACTATAGGCACAGCTGGTATAGCAGGGCATAAACCTACAGCACTATATAATAATAACAACAACAACAACATTCTGCATTATTCTGTCTGTTATTACATGTACTAATGAGGATTTGCAGTTACGCAAATGGAACATGTTCTCTACTAAGTATATGACTCCTAGATTCTCTAATAAATCAATGTTTTATGCAAGCAAAAACCTAAAGTTAATGTTAGAAAAAGTGCATTATCATCCCCAGCAGCTCCCAAACCCCTGCAATGCAGCTTTTATTATTTCTGTAAAAGAGAAAAAGGAAATCAATAGAGATCCCTCGGGCGTAATCCTCAGCAAGATTAGCACTTTGTCACCCTGTGCTATAATCTCCTGGAAAGCAAAAAGGAGAAGGGGGAGGGGGAGGAAGAAAAGGAAAGAAGTCACAGGGAAGCCAAGAAGTGGGAATTTGTTGGGGGTGTTCAGTGTGCTTCTAAAAAAGAATATTTCAAAGGTGACTCTGGTCTTCTCACCTCGATGCTGAGAAATGCTGGAGATGTTTTGCCCAGCTCTTGAAATCTTTAGATTCGAATTAGAAGAGAAACCTCCCAAATTTGCCTGGAGTAAAGTTCCCTGATTTAAGTGGTGGTTTTAGAGGGAGCTAAATCCAGAACTCAGCTCAGGCCCAGCAATGCTGAGTGTTGTAGAGCCTGAGTTTTGGGAGTCTTTGTCCCTGGACCAACAGCTGGAGCTGTGTCAGGGAAGGCTCAGGGTGGATCTCAGCAAAAGGTTCTTCCCCCACAGGCTGGTTGGGCACTGAACAGGCTCCCCAGGGCAGTGGGCACAGCCCCAAGGCTGCCAGAGCTGCAGGAGGCTTTGGATGATCCTCTGGGGCACAGGGGGGGACTCTTGGGGATGGGCCTGTGCAGGGCTGAGGGCTGGACTGGATGATCCTTGGGGGTCCCTCCCAGCCCAGCACATTCTGTGATCCTGTAGCCCTGGCAGCAGGGTGGGAGCCAGTGGAGAGCCAGAGGGGAGCTCCTGGAGATACGGGGAGGGCATTCCAGGTGACATCTCAGAACTGCCACAGGAAAATTCAGGAGCAACGTTGCAAGCTCTGAATAGTGGATGGAGGGACAGTAATGAACAAAAGTGTGTGTGCAGGGGAGGACATGCTCTGTCACATCAGCTCTGTTATTTTCTGCCCCTCTGCAATCACACATTAGTTAAATTCACAGATGAGCTGCATGGAGGGGCAACCCAAATAGGAGACATAATAGAAAAGGATCAAGAGAGGCCAGAAACATGGGAAGAAAATGAGCAAAGAAGGTTGGAATCACAACAAACAATTCATTGGGAATAATCACAGGGAATCCCTTAATGCACTGAGCTGGAAGGGACCCACAAGGATCATGGAGTCCAACTCCTGGAGGGCAGACCAGGGCACCATTTGCATCTTGCACAGCACATCATTTCCAGCCTCTCATATTCAGGTGCCCAAATAGCCACGTGCCTAAAAAGTTCCCTTTCCTAAACTGTGGTTCCTAGAAAGCAGAGGAAGTGCAGGAGCAGAGCACCAAGCTGGAGTTTAAACAAACAATTCAGCAGCTGCTTTCTACTGAGCCAGCTGAGATCCTGCAGAAGTGCTGTGCCATTTAGCCCTGTCTGCCTAATGAAACCATCCCTGGCTGGCACTCAGCTCCACCTGACAGCAGAGAGCCAGGAGTTTTAATACAGTTCCTGATTTCAATGCATAATTTATGGAGAAAAATGGAAATGAGCCTCCAGTTTTTCCTTGCTGTCCCTCTCCCGTGAGCTTTCCTTCACTCACTGCTCTGAGAGTGGCCTCACAATAAACCCAGGAAAGCTGTGCTGTGAATAAACTGTGTTTTGCAAGGAACTTTCAGATCTCTGAAGCTGCTTTTCCTGCAGTTCCCATTTCACTTGGCAAAGGAAAACCAGGCAGAGAAAACTGAGGATACTTCAGGAAGAATTTGCATTCTTGAGACCTTCACAGTCACACTCAGCACAGAACATGCACTTTCAGGTAATCATTAATCCAAGCCTAAAACTTCCTTCCACTGGTAGAATTAAGTTACCCCAGGGCTTACAGCTGATTAATAGCATTTAATAAGCATGATTTTTATTGTTATATGGAACTCATTTGTTCCATATAATAATGGCGTAACGGAAAAATTGGTTTTGCTTCCAATGCATCTGTGCTCGAGCTGGAGCTCAAGGCTTCACACACTCTAAGATTTGCTGATGCAACACAAAATAGGCTCCATTTGAGATGTGAATTGCTAAAGAGGAGCTTCTTTCTCTTCAGTGACTGTACAGAAGAATAACCTCCTGACTATTAGACAACCTAATGTAGGAGTAAAATCTCTTGTAATTTTTGCTCCAGATCTGTGGAATTCCCCAGACCAAGAAGCCTTATTTATTAAGCTCCTGACACTGGGATTCTGGCCTCCTTACATAAAACTAGCAGTAAAGGCTTCCAAAATCTCATTAAAAGATTAGCCTCCTATCACAGGCAGCTGGGACATTGCAGAGGAGTGTGCTGAGCTCCCAGTAGGAGAAGATGGAGTAAAACCTGGGCAAAACTCTGCTCTCAGCACACTCCTGCAATCAACCCTGCACAGCCAGGAAGGATGAGGCTCAGAAGGCGTAAACATCCCCAAATATCAGCTATCTAAAAACCAAGAGCTGATGTTCTCCCTTCAGCCTCCTCCAAATGTCAGTTCTGATTTAGATTAATGGCCCATTTTTTATCTCCTGACTGAAGAAGGCACCTTGGAACATCTGGGAACGTGGGCACATCAGGCAGATTCCCAAAGTTCAGTGGTGATCAGCCAGATCCTGCTCCCTGTCCATCCCTGCACAGCTGTAGCATCCTCAGGGGCATTTTTGTCTTAGTTCTTGTCTGGGGAGCCTCCAGGGATGGAGGAACTCTGGATCTTCTTGGTCATGGAAGGTTTATTTAGGTCCTTTCAGTACCTAAAGGGGCTGGCAGGGGCTTCTCACAAGGGCAGGACAAGGGGGAAAGGCCTTAAGCTGAAGGGGACAGGGTTGGATGGGATATTGGGAAGAAATTCTTCCCTGTGAGGGTGGGCAGGCCCTGGCACAGGTTGCCCAGAGAAGCTGTGGCTGCCCCTGGATCCCTGGAAGTGTCCAAGGCCAGGTTGGAGCAACCTGGGCTGGTAGAAGGTGGAATTGGATGAGCTTTAAGGTCCCTTCCAACCCAAACCAGTCTGGGATTTTATTTTGCTTCCCTGAGCTGTTTTTCTCTGTCTGCCTGGGCTCAGCTATTAAAAAAAAACTATTTATTAGATCTGTCATCTCAGCTCACCTGCTATGTGTGTGCTCCCTTTCTGTTCAGTGTACTGAGTGCTGTCTGAGTCCCCGATTTCTTTGTGGAATGAAAGCAAATTTTCTCGAATCACGAAATTATTCAGCTCTCATATTGACAGCTTTCTCTTCCTTCATGGCTGACTGGTTGAGATGCAGAGGCAGAGCTGTGCTATCTCACTGTGGCTGTTTGCACACAGCTCCTGCTGCAACCACTTCAGAACTGCACAGGAACCAGTGGGGTTGGGACTGAGCTGTGTTACCTCGAGGTCAGCAATGAATTTTTATGCCTCTTCAAACACTGGATGTATTTGAAACTCGTGTAGTTTCCTGTGCCAATACTCAAACCCAAATTCTTGAAAGGCAGGTGACAAGAACACCTGGAAAACTAAGGAAAAATGAGTGCAGCCAAAGAATTTTAATTTAACAGTTGAAATAAATACCTGCAGGCACTTTCTTGTTGGCTGTCATTGCTCCCTGATCCAAGTGCCAGCTTGGCTTTCATCTGCTTGGTCTGAAAAGGGCTGGAATTTCTCTTGGGACATGTGGTCACATTTCCAAACTAAGTTTTCCATGAAGTTAAAGTTGGCTTGGGCAGCTTTTGAAGCTTATGTAAGACAATAAACCTGTTGTATTTTCCTTATTCTTAGCTATTGCAGTACCTAAACTTTATTAACCAGATAATTCCAGCAGCATCCCTATTATTATTTCTTCTTTTTGGTAGGATGAACTACTGTTTTGTTGAAGAAATCTCGAACTCTTCAGATAATCCCCAAAGCTTTCATATATAACAAGATTCATACAGAAATGAGCTTTACTCAGTGCAGCATGTCCTGGTTTTTTATCAGGTCACGTCAAAGCTGCTCTGAGTGCCCTCAGTGACCACTGGGACACAGCAGACAGGGTGAGTAATCAGAGGATTTTATCAAGAAGAGACATGAAAAGGGACGTTTATGTGCCAGGTAGCTGGTTCCAGTGGAGGGGACACCAAAAAACTTCAGATAAATCTTATAAGATAAGCTTATCTCAAGATAACCTTGAGAGGATACCCTCAAACTGCTTCTTTGAGAACCAGTGGCAAGTTACCCAAGTTGAACTTGTTCTTGCTCCTGGTAATTCTCTGCCATACCAAAAAAAAAAAAAAAAAAAAAAGGACAACACAAGGAAAACAGTCATCAAGTGTTTTCATATCCCCAGGTCATAGACCTGTAGAACCACAGGATGGTTTGAGTTGGGAGGAACCTTAAATCTCATCCAGTCCCACCCCCTGCCACGGGCAGGGACACCTTCCACTAGCCCAGGTTGCTCCAAGCCCTGTCCAACATGACCTGCTAAACAGGTGGCACATTTAAAAATGAACAATTTTTCCACTGCAAAAAGTTAATTTTATTGAAATCTTCTTCATCATCATCATCATCATAAAAGATTGACTAAGGCTACATATTCTTTAGGTGTATTTTTAGAGGTATTTTTGGTGTGTCACGTTTTGTGGGAAAAGAAAAAAGCTTTTTGCAGCTCCATGATCCACATTAAACAACCTGGACTTAAGGAAAGGGGAACCTAATGCTGATGAGAAGGGGGAAATGACTCCCCAGAGCATGGAAAGGAGTGCTGGAGTCACTGGCACCAGCTCAGGTGAGAACCAGTTATGAAAGAGAAAGGCACAGCTTAAGGAAATTGCAGATAACCGAATTTAGCTTTGGGGCCTTGCTAATTGTTGAGAGAATAAGATCAAGCCTATCATTAATAACCAGAACAAATCACTTGATGAGCAATTCTGTAGGTGGAAATTCTGTCCAATTTTGATCCATGTTGATCAAAATCAGTTTCCTGAGAAAGAGAACAATCCAGGGGTGTCTGTGTGGGTTTGGGAAGGAGGCACACGCTGCTCCATTGGTTAAAATGATGGTAAGAGAAATGGAAAAACAGCTTTTATAGATGGGTCAGCGAGCACAGCATTGAAAACACCCTCTCCATGGCACTGAGGACTGGTTTGTGCCACTCCCTGCAGCCACCTCTAAAACGAGGCACAGGAAAGGTTCCTGCACAGCCGCTGGAAATGGGAGCTGGAGTGCCCTGGGAATTCTGAAATTGCTCCATTCCCTCGAGCTGGACCACATCCTTCAGAATATCAGAATTCCAAAATCCCTGAGGCTGGAAAATCCCTCCCAGCCCATGGATCCCCCCTGTGCCCCATCCCCACCCTGTCCCCCAGCCCAGAGCACTGAGTGCCACGGCCAGGCCTGCCTTGGGCACCTCCAGGGGTGGGCACTCCAAACCTCCCTGGGCAGCTCCTGCCAAGGCCTGACCACCCTTTCCATGAGGAAATTCCTCCTGATGTCCCACCTGAGCCTCCCCTGGCACACCTGGAGGCCGTTCCCTCTCCTCCTGTCCCTGTTCCCTGGGAGCAGAGCCCGACCCCCCCCCAGCTCCCCCCTCCTGTCAGGGATTGCAGAGCCAGAAGGTCCCCCCTGAGCCTCCTTTTCTCCAGGCTAAAGGATTTCCCTGGATCTCCTGTTAGTTCATTACCCATCTCTTGGGTGCATTAGTTGCCCAGGAAGGGACTGTCCCTCAGTCAGGGATGTTCCCTGAGGGAGACTCACAGGTCCTGGGAGCTGCAAGATGTTTTCCTCTTTTTTCTCCCAGAACATTATCACCTTTATGTTTGGACAGACCATCTGGTAGTGCTTTAACCTGCCTCTGCAGCCATGAAGAAATGGTGAAGAACAGGAACCAACTACACTTAAATTACAGGAAAGGCATCCTCAAAATCAAAGTGTTTTCTTAAAAACTCTGACTTAGCAAATTGCCTGGGAGTGTTGGTGTGAACGTTGGCAGAGTTTGGTGGGGTGAATGGGTCACCAGCAACACCTCTGGCTCCATGAAATATTCCCTGAGCAGGGGGAGCTCAGGATCTCAGATTGGGCACCCAATGTCTGACAAAAGCCTGCTGAGATCACAGGACAGAGAACCTGCACAGTGTTGAGGTCTGCACAACATGAAGAGTTTGGAACACCCTGCACCTCACCAAACCCTAGGGATGGTTCCCCAGATGAGAATAAATTAGACTTTGTTCAGCCTTAACATGTTTGAACACGTGAAACATGTTCAATCGAGGGCATGAAGATGAATTTGATTTGCACACTGATTTAACTTGCTGCGCTGTGCATTCAGAGCACAAGTGGGATTTCTCTCTTCTTTAGGTGTTATTACCTGAAACATGTTTGACTCTTTCAGTCTGTCCCTCTCACCAGTGTCTTTCCCCAGAGAAGCTGTGGCTGCCCCTGGATCCCTGGAAGTGTCCAAGGCCAGGTTGGACGGGGCTTGGAGCAACCTGGGCTGGTGGAAGGTGTCCCTGCCCATGGCAGGGGGTGGAAGTGGATGAACTTTAGAGTTCCTCCCAACCCAAACCGTTCTATGATTCCATGATTCCAACATCATTACCAGAATGTGTCATCCCCCAGGGTGAGCTGTGACATCACACCTGACACTCCCCTCCCAGTTTGGAACTGCCAGAGGTGTTTTGTTTTCCTGTTTTCTCTCTTTGTCTTTTCTAGTGGTTTTGTTTGGTTTGGTTTGGTTTGTTGTTGGGTTTTTTGTTTGTTTTGATATTTTTTTTTGTTTGTGTTTGTTTAAAATTTTTTTTTCTTAAGTGTTTAACTGCTTTTTATCTTTCTGTCAGAGGAAAAAAAAACAATCCCCACTTCCCAGATACTCTCATCCCATTCAGGCAGTTCTGTTGGAGGGTCTAACTGTAACAGAATCAAAATTTTAGGAAGATTTGAGTTCAAAATATCATCCCTGTGGAAGGAAAAGGGAGTGTATCTGCAGATCCACACAAGCCCTCAGTGGGAATTGCAGTGGAGTGTAAGAGGATCTCACAGCAGGTGATGGACAGACACAACTCTGTTCTTATTCCCCAGGTGTGGGCAAGTCATGGAATCACAGAATCTCAAAATGGTTTGGGTTGGAAGAGACCTTAAAGCCCACCCAGTTCCACCCCCTGCCATGGGCAGGGACACCTTCCACCAGCCCAGGTTGCTCCAAGCCCCGTCCAACCTGGCCTGGGACACTCCCAGGGATCCAGGGGCAGCCACAGCTGCTCTGGGCAACCTGTGCCAGGGCCTGCCCACCCTCACAGCCAGGAATTACTTCCATACAGCTCACCTAAATTTCCCCTCTGTCAATTTGAACCCATTCTCCTCTATCCTGTCACTCCAGTTCCTCGTGAACAGCCCCCCTCCATCCTCCCTGTAGCCTCTTCAGATCCTGGAGGGGGCTCTGAGGTCTCCACACAACCTTCTCTTCTCCAGGCTGAACAGCCCCAACTCAGCCTGTGTGTTGAGTTTTTCATCAACAAAGTCATGTGTGGATGAGTCTTTGTACAAAGAAAATCAGCAGTGAGATCAGTGTTTTTGCTCTCCAGCTGCTTGTTGGTCACCACTCCCAGATACAAGAGGAGCCCCACCCGGTATCAACCACCCTTCCACCATGTCCTCCATCCTCAAACTCTTGGTTTTGCCCTGCCCCAGGAGCATTTCTGCGACAGTTCAGGGAGTGGCAGAGTCTGATCTGACTGGCTCTCATGGAAATGAGCAGAGAAAACCTGATTCTGCAGGGAATAAGGGCTAAACTTCCTTTATACATCTGATTAGACAAACTGGTTGCAGAGGGAGCAGTTTATTACAGAAATCCTCGCTCCGTGGTTTCAGCTCATACCTGCACCAGTGTCTGCATGCTCAGGGTAATTCTTTTGATCATTTTGTGGACGGATTTAATATAAAGCAGCCTCATTCTTTAGGCACAACACTGATTTTTCCAAAATTCGTTGTTTAGGGATTATTATTATTATTATTATTATTATTATTATTATTATTGCATACGAGTGAATCACTTGGCTTTGTCTGGTGCAATTTCAGCTTCCAAGAAGTGTTTAAAATATTAGTATGAAGTGATATGTCAGGTAAAGCATTGGTGCTACTTCTGGGATTAATTATCCAGGGTTTTTTTTTTTTTTTTTTGCTTGCAATCTCCTGCTCAGCTCCATGATTTCTCTGTTATCTGCTGGAAATACCAATCCAAGAGAGCTCTGGGCTTAATTATTTGTTTTCAAGTTTTACAGAAATGACACTGTTGTCACTTGCTGTGGTCAGAAGTGGCTGCAGAGCACAATCAGACCATGCTGGTGAATACACACCCTTTCCAAACGCCCCAGCACTGAGGATTTAATGGGGAACTGTTTTCCATTGGTCCAGGGCACTTGACCCAGCATGGGCTTAGTTTTCCCCTACTGGAAGCACTAAGCTTTACCTAAGACAAGAACCTTTGATGTTCTTTTGTCCCAAAACCAGCAACATAAAGATTCTATCACAGAATTGCTGAGGCACCTCTGGAGACCTTCCAGTTCCAACCCCTTTCTCAGAGCAGGATCAGGTGGAACAGGTTGTCCAGGACTGTGGGCAGATGGGTTTTCAATATCCACAAGGATAGAGATTCCACAGCCTGTCTGACCCACTGCAGTGTTTGGACACACTCACAGTAATGGAAGTTTTTTTCTAGTTTTTTAAATGGAATTCCCATCTTTCAGTTTGTGCCCATTTCCTTTGTCCTGTGACTGGGTAACAGAGAGAATTCCAGAATCCCAGAATATGCTGAGCTGGAAGGGACCCCCAAGGATCATCCAGTCCAACCCTCAGCCCTGCACAGGCCCATCCCCAAGAGTCACCCCCTGTGCCCCAGAGGATCATCCAAAGCCTCCTGCAGCTCTGGCAGCCTTGGGGCTGTGCCCACTGCCCTGGGGAGCCTGTTCAGTGCCCAACCAGCCTGTGGGGGAAGGCTCTGGCTGTGTCTTTGCCCCCTCCCACCAGGCAGGTGCACATGGATAAGATGCTCCTGAGGCTCCTCCACGTTTAACACTCCCAGATCTGTCATCCCTCCTCGTACCATGAATACTCCAGTCCCTCAACCATCTTCACTGCCTTGCTCTGGATTCACCCCAGTGTATCCCTGTCTATCCACATGGAATCCAGCCCTGGACCCAGCACTGCAGGTGTTCACCCCCTGTGCTGAGCAGAGGGGGAGGATCCCGTCCCTGCACCGTGTCAGTGGTGCCCAGTGCCCTCCAGGATGCCTTTGGCTTCCTTTGCTGCCAGGGCACAATGTTGGCTCACCTTCAGCTTGTTGCCCTCAGGGACTCTCACACCCCTTTCTGCCAGTCCATCCTCTAAGCCCCCATCCTGTGCAGAGGCTCCTGTCTGGGCAGCAGGAGGAGGCAGAGCTCACCTGAGAGGCTGTGAGTGCTGTCACCTGTGAGATCACTGACCCC